CCGCCGGAAGAAATGCCTAGCCTGCTATTTTGATACAATCGTCTGTGTCCTTGGAGGCGCTGATGAAAGGTAGGAGCAGCTTCAAGTGGTTCTACAGGCAGTGTGGTATTAGCGTAGCAGAGGCAGTTCGACGAGGTAGAAGACGCACTTAAGCTACTACCCAGCTTTGCTAACGAAAAAGTGGACGTCGGTAAATCTGCGGCATAAGATCCAGGAGACCAGTCGATAGGATGTCTAGTGCCTGCGCGAACTGGAGCAGTTTGGCGTCGTTGGGTGTGAGGTGTAGATGGGTAAGGATGTTTGCAACGGAGGGCATGTCTTGAGCTGGCGGGGGTACCAGTATGTGCTGAGAAGTAGGCTTGCGATGGGAAGCCGTCTTTTGTCTTTGGGTTGATGTGGTCGACGTCAAAGGGAAAGAAATTCGCCGCCCGAGTTGCCCGGTCTGAACAAAACGTCGCACGGCTGTTCCTTGCATCCGCGCAATGTTTTTGGTGTGGTTTTGTTCTTGTTCGCTCGACGTCTTACTGATGCTACTCTTTGTAGGGCTCTATGGTGCTACTATCCCAGACCTATTCTCACTCAACACGCCCAAAACACGCTGCTAATACTCATCTAACGCCAGAAGGACGCAACTTCATCCACCCGAACACATCGACATCGCTTGGACTGGCTGGCCAGCCTGCGATGTACAGGATGCACCACGCTACCTCCTCGTTTCATTCCTCCTGCCAACCACGATAGGCAAGTACGATACTATCAAAGCCTGCTCTCACTAAATATAAAAGCCTACAGCACTCCGCCTCATGTTCACAGTTCTACAGCATCCTGCCCTTTGCCCTCAACCACTGCCATCTCCCTCCCTAGTTCTTCTCCTCCCTAGTGTTCTTCGACATGCCTCATAATATCAACTCTCGGAAGATCCAAGGCGGAACCTTTAACGACGTTGGCCGCGATCAGACGAACAACACCTACCGTGGTCGAGTCGTTGGACATCATGTCCAGATTGAAACAATGACCGTAGGCTGTTCTCACAGCCAGCAGTCAGTGAAACGTACAATGTACGATGAGGTGAACACATTCTGCTTAATGAGTCGGTCAATCTGCTCATCAATGCTTTTCAGTTCGAATACATCAAACTCGGACAAATCATTCCACTGGAAACCCTTTCCACCGAAGACCTTTCACAGCTTGAACTCAGCTATCGCAGCGGACGAATGGTAGGACGACTGAAGACTCGCGTGACGACCTGTACAGTCACCATAGGCCACGACAAGGACTCGAAACTCGTCGCTATGATGTACGAAGGAGAAGATGCTCAAAAGGCTTGGGAGCATGATTTTCAATACATATCGGGGATCAAGTAAGTCTCAAGAACAATTCTTCATTATTCCTTCGCTAACATTCACCTTAAGGGAACCAGGATATGCCCACTTGTTCGGCATCAACCAGTCTTCTCAAATCCCAATGTTAATTTTTCACCGTAGGACACCCTCCCATCTCCCCTTCCCACCACACATTTTAACACTACCCCCAGATACAGAACATACACCAGTAACAAGCATGCAAGTGAAGGATTTGGACGGCCTTCTCCGGAGACTCTCATGGATGTTTTACGATCTTGTCAAGAAGAGACGTCAGTGCTACATACCCATTCTTCCTTCTCAACATGTATTCTGACCAAATCCATAGCTTACCTCCAGTATGACACTGTCAATTTCAACTTTGGGTCAGCAATGATGACATTTTTGTGAATAGCTGGTTTCCGTGGTTAGTCAATGGTGCAGCCTACCTGTTCTTCCCACCTAGAGTGTATTCTGATAAAATGTACAGATGGCCATCTCCCAGATGGCATGCAAGGTCTGGTAACGCAACTATACTTGTCCCAGACAAGACTTCAATATGGATCAAGCCCAAAGGAATGGGATCAGGTCCTCCAGCAGGTCTTACACCTTTTACATGTTTGGGGGTGTGAGATTGACTCTGAGGCTGGTAAGAAGGATAAATGGAAGTGGGTAAGGGTCAAGGATTCTGGTTCTATTCACGGTGTGTTACCTGCCCATCTTGTACTCAACTGTTACACTAAGAATCCCTCTCCCAGAATTGCATGACAATGAAGATAGGCCTGATATGCATTCATGGGCTACTTACTCAAGTGAAGGTATGTCCCTTGTCCAGCTGGCAACTGTCTGGAGTTTCCTAAGCTTATTTGTGATGCCAATAGAGGATGAAGATTGGTTGTCATTTGGTGCTGATTCATATACATCAGAAGATGAAGGTACACATCCAGCTCATACTCACCTTAGATCTGTCAAGCTCATCATGAAATGTCTAGGGAATGAAGGAGATTGGTTATCATCTTATGTTGATTCATATATCCCAGAAGATGATACTGAAGATGACGAAGTGATTCTATACCCTCGTTCAAATTGATGTCACATTGCTTGGTCAATGGTTTCAATACACTGTAGTACAGTATAGAACACTAATCTTTCGGTAACCACACAATACATAGGACAGTGAGATCTAGTGCCTTGTGTACACAGTGTGCTCTCCATACATGTTCCAATCCCCCTGACTGTGTTTCCTTTTCCATGTAATTGCCTCCTCATCCATATCACACCCACTAAGAATTGCTTTTTGATAGACAAAAAACTATCTTGACACAATATGTTTCCTACTGAAAAAGACAGCCCACATTCTCTGATGTGTTTTTATCCTTGAGAAATCCTTCAGAACAAATCCAATTAGCTGGCAATGGTTTTTTTGAATGAAAAAGTGCATCCAAAAACTATAGGTGTCTCATTTGTCTAGAAATATTTTCTTTTCGGATGGGTGTTTGGCTATCAGACAGTGATTTCTTGTGGGTGTGTATCTTTCTGTTTTGCATGGAACAGACATAGTAGTGTCTGGGAGTCGAGCCTTGCCAGTAGCTTGAGAGGGAAGCTTGGCTGTACTGTGGTAGTTGGATTTGAGTGGCCTGCTGGAGGGGAATAGATGTCTGTAGGGGCCACATTGAAGACAAACTGGCAGAGGTAGGTGCAATAAAGGGTGTGGTGGGTCACAAGTGCACAATAGGATGATGCTTCAAGGCTGCTTCCACCAGAACATTTTTGAGGGAGAGAGTGGCATGTGAGGTAGTACATATCATTTGATATTTATGTTGGCTGGAGGTTATTTGGACAAAGAAAACTGTTAAGAAAGAAGGATGAGATTCACCAGATGACAAGAGGAGGCCTACATTACTACATGCCTGCTTGATTTCATTTGTTCTCAACTTATTGATACAGCACAGTCAATAATGGGAGCATAGAAGATCATTAAGAGATCTTTGGAGGGCAGAGAACAATGTTGAGATGTTGATCTTGTTGAAGAGACATCATGGTGGTCAGAGTGGAGGTGCATAACTCAACAAACAGCATTTTGATCTTGCCTCTATGTACACTCTTTCGCGTACAGGAACTAAAAGTCACATAGCTCCTTGTACCAAAGCTATATCATACAAAGATACTACAAGCATAAGAGATACAAAAGGTAAAGATCTCTGGTAAGATAGACAGTACAAATGCAATAGCTAAACTCCCTGCCCCTGACACTGCCCTGCCGTCTATTCTAAATCTACCTTAAGCACCTTTTTGTATGACACAAGGTAGGTTTGGGTATAGCCAACGATACCTCAAGCTTGAAGTAGTGAAACATGTCAGAAAGGCAAAGCACTGAGGAGTTGAGACTTACATGTTGAATGTACCGTCTACTAACCATCAGTGAATACAAGATTCCCAACTCAACTGCATGTCCTAAATCTTGTTGCAGCGACCCAGAAGAGGAGCATACTGCATGGTTCAAAAGGAGCCAATGACATCTGAGATGTATATGAGTACTGAATAACATGAGAAGAACATGTCTCACATATCTGAGAATGTACAGGCCTGGATGTCTTCCCAGTCTCACAAATGAACTGGATACCAAAGGTTGGCGGAAGGTTGGAGCATTCTTTTTGCTAAGCCTTGTATGTCCCAGCTGGATGGAGGTACACACTCTCTTCCTAGTTTGAGGGGCGGTAAGATTGGAGAACCTGATGAATGAAGACGAGGATGTCATCATGGTGTCAGCTGATGGCGGTTGGGTATGGTACGAGGAACATCAAAGTCTGCATCGTAGAGTATGACTTCAGATTCCATGAGATGGTTCTTCAAGATCACGCTGTACTTGTCCTTCGTTGAGAACACCTGGCCAAGAGGTCTCCATCTTGCAAGTCCAAGTGTTCTATACCAGAGAGCAATCCTGAAGCAACATATACTCCAGCTGCCTGCCCGACTTGCTCTTTCAGACCACTCAAGAACATCATATCGTCGCCTCCAAAAGTCTACATTCCAGCATGAGAAAGCCAGGCTTGGTCTGCCTGAAGGAATGTAGGCCATTTGTACTGCCTAGCTAGGTTGAAAGGTCGAAGGAGATACTCGGGAAGGAGGTTGTGTTTGGTATTGTAATCCTTGTCCTCTACAACACATCCTGGTCCCAAATACAAGGTAGATCTGTGGAATATTCATGTGATCAAAGATACACCCATGGAGTGGTGACAGATACAAGTAGCCTCGCCATTGGTGCTGGTGTAGAACTTGGGGATTGAGATATGTTGGGTGCAGTATGGCGGAGGAAGTTCTATCAGTAGTTACGTTCTCAGCTTGTTCATATAGGAGAAGACTGGAAACAAGTATATTAGCCTCAGCACATGGCTAGCATGAACGAGTTTGAAGAGACTACGCACCGTTGTTATGCTGGGCCTGGATTGGAGTGCTACATTGGTATAGATAGGAATAGGATTATAGGAATAGGGAATATTAGCACGTCCAGGTCTCAGTGTTGCACAATAATCATGATAGCTATATACCGCCAAATAGTATGACTTAAGTGTCATCGGCTTCCCATATGTTGGTGTATCCCTTAGGTGGGGTCGCATATGCAATGTGTATATAGTGAGGCATGCTCTGTTGTGTAGACAAGGCACTATAGCTCAGTGGTTAGAGCACCTAACATGTAATCAGGAGGTCTGGGGTTCGACTCCCCATGGCGCCACTCTTGTTTCAACTTGGGATACAGTTAGCAGACTCTTTACCGTGTTGTTACGTCTAGTAATCGTGATCGCAGAAAGAGTCAAGAGCAACAAGGCGCACTCGCTTCCTCTCAAGCACCAAAGAAGCTGTCAAGAGCTCTGACTTGGAGACTCATTCTCAGAATGTTAAACGATGAGACTAACACCATCATGCTTGCTCCCCGTACTATTCATCACCACCCTTATCCCTTTTTGCCCTCTTTGAGCCTAATACCCAGTGTTGGTATGTAGCTAGCGCCAATGAGGTCAGTAAAGGACATTTCTTCAAGCTCTGAAGGGGTGTATATGCCTGTCAGGTGGAGAGTTGATTGTCCAGTATTGGTGTGCATCTCATAACCTGAGGCGGCCTTCATTCTTCCTGTAGTCTTTGGTATCAATTCCTCGTATATCTCGCGTCTTTCTGAAGTGAACAACGTGTAAAATGGCGACAATGGGACGAATTAGGCAAGGTTGGCGGGTCATCAAGAGGTACGGTATTTCAACCTTGTGTTGTCCTTCATATGCTGGTCCTTTTTCTGTGAAGGTCTACCCAATATCCTAGAGATAGATTCGATGTTCATGAATGGAAATGAAGACTCCAGCTTCTGGGGGCTTTGTTGGTGAAGCTGGGGTGTACAGGTGTTTGATGTAGGAGCCAAAGGTACAGGGGAAATGCGATAATAAAGTGATACCGCTGGGATGTGAAGCAGAAGAGTGCAAGGGCAGTTATTGACCACAGGCTTCATCACCAGAGGGTGTGGGTATGGAGGGAGATGGCCGTAGTGATATTACTGAATGTTCTGGGTCAGGATGAAGTGCTGTTGGACGAAGGCATATGAGCTTTACCAGTGATCGGAAAAGAGAAACTGTGTACTGAACGATATCTTCCATTTTCAACTGTTGATCCAAACACTGGTGATCTTCTTGAACAGCCCAGCAAAATAACTCTGAAGTTGAGAGGCAGAGGAATGGTAGAAAAAATCGTGGTGGTGGTTGTTGACAATGAAGAGAACATTGCGTTTGGCATTGTTTATGGTGCGGTCCGGTTGTCCGGGCAGGTCTGCGGCACAAAAATTGCGGTTCTTTCAATGCCTTCAAGCCATTCAGACAAGGACAACCTTTAGACACACCAAGGGAGCAAGATCAAAGTTGGCTGAATTGTATTCTCAGTGCATACAGTCTGTTTCTGAACTCTTTGCCCCATATCTTGACCTGATCTTGACTATCATTGTACAGTTGAGGACCTTCATGCAATGCCCTTTCAATGCTCCTTCTCTGAGCCCCAAGAATTAGGATGCGACTAAAAGAGACAGACTCAATCAGCTAAATACTACCATAATGGACGATATCCGAGTTAACAAAACCAGACCTCTGCGCTGTCATTCAGCCATTTTCAATCTCGAGCTCTGAGTCTCCAATGGCAACCAGTTCTCCCTCTGCGGCATTACCATCTCTCGCATCTTCATACTACACAGATACTCCACCTCAATTCCTACCAAAGTACCAGCTCACAAATGAGAGTACCCATGATCATTGATTACACCTATCACACCTACACCTGCAAATATGTGCCTACATCTCCTTTTGCCCATACCCATTCTCCTTCCTATTGATCCTGATTTTATGATGCTCCATCTAGAACATGGGTGTGATGGAGCGTAGCTTTTTCCTTTCATTTCTCTAAGTCCCCTTATCTATTTTCTTATCTTCATCTTATCATTTTCCACTTATATCATGTACAGCCTCTCATCCACCGGAACATTCCACATCATTCTTCTATTATTCTACATCTTTCTGTATCATTCTGATTGCTTACTTGTACAATTCTCACTGAGACAGACTCTTCACATATAAACCATAGCTGCAGATGCCTAGTTCCCCATCTTGACCTCTTGGTCATTTGGGCTAGGCAAGTCACCTTGTATTTTATTCCTTTAGTTATGCTAACTTGGTCATTTGGGCTAGTATCTGACTTGTGTCTGCCTGCTCAACGTTGTATAGTGCCCTGTGCCTACGCCGGATCACCCCCTCTTCCCTTATCATCACTGCTCAGCACCGCTATCTGTAGAGAGGTAGTTGGTCCGCCCTCACAATGGGCTGTCGGTAATGGGACCCAGTACCGTTTTGGGTGAAGAGCCCAGAGAAACGTCTCTGGTCTGACAACGTGTCATCACCCACACTGTCAGGCAATCTCATCTGTAGACCTGGAGAATCCTCAATTCAGGGCACAAGGAATGGTTCAGGATACCATTGGAAGCAGGAGTCTGGATACGCCATATCTCGTGAAGGAAAGAGATAGCGCACTGGGCAATCTAGGTCCAGACCTTCATCTGTTGCTTGCAAGATAGCCTTAATCAAGCTGCCTGGCGTCGACACTCCTGGTATGTCGTTGAATTACCTCGGTGTGTATTATATGCGTATGCTCATTCTAATCCTCTTCCTAGACACACCTACCAAACCCCAATTCTCAGATCTCAGCACTTGCATTTTCTTGGCTACACCCCCAATACATGACTATGTAGTTGTCTAATACAACGACAGTCTCAAGAAGACAACTGGACGATGGTGCAAATGATTCTCTTGCAATAACCCTTTCTTTGTTAGCAGCAATAATCCTGAGCGACGGGTAAGCGCGTAACACTTGATGTCAAAGCAAGTGGACTGTGATCAACGCCTAAGCGAATCAACTAGGTCAAGGAAAGGGATGATGATCGAAAGACTTGTGAAAAGCCTTGAGACTGTGTTTAGCAGTGCTGGTACAAGACAATAGCAAGAGACGATGATATTCGATGTAGAGAGTACACAGTTTATATAGTAGAACGTTCAACAGCATAGAAAACAAGTATGTATAAATGAATATGCCACACCGATACGATGGTATGAGAATAAGAACCGTGGAGACCATAAGGAACAGATAAGACAACAAAGGATAGTCCGGATGGAGAACAAGGACAATAGAGTTACTGAAGAGATAGACAAGTAATACCATAAAAGGATTAATTATTCTAACACTCCCCTTCAAACCGAGCATAGTCCCATTTGACTTGCGAAGTGTTTGACCTTTGCAGAGGGTAATCCTTTTGTTAATGGATCAGCCAACATGTCTTCGGTTGGACAGTACCCTAGCACAATCTTTCCCTTCTCGACCGTATAGCGGATAAAATGGAACCGTATGTCGATGTGTTTCGTTCTCGCATGGAAGCGGTCTCCTAGAGATAAGGAAATCGCTCCTTGGTTGTCTGTTTTTAATAGCAGCGGTTCCTCCTTTCCTCCAAAAATTTCGGACATAAAAGACCGAATCCATAAGGCCTCCTTTGCCGCGTGCGTGAGCGCGACGTATTCGGCTTCTGTTGTAGAGAGAGCTACTAGAGGTTGCCTTTTCGACGACCATGATAGAGCCCCACCATTTAGCATGAACACGTATCCTGAGATAGCTCTCCGTCCCTCTGTAGTCATTCCATCCGCATCCGAATACCCTACTACCCTTTGATGGTCTTCCGTCTTTTCGTTTGTTTGCCCGTATGATAGCCAATAATGCATGGTCCCCTTTAAATATCCGCAAATCCTCAGCAGCGCATTCCAGTCCTCTCTTGTCGGTTTTTGTAGGTTGGTAGAGGACTGTGAGAGCGCATATGTGATGTCTGGCCTGGTTGCTATGGATATATACTGTAGTGCTCCGACTAATTCTCGAAATGGCATTGGGAAGGGAGCATTCGTGGTACTGGTCCCAGTGTCGAAGGATGGGTTCGAGTGTTTTCCAGCATTCTTTGCATTCGGTTCCTCGTGGATGGTCGCATCTGTTGACACGCCAGTCTTTATCTCCATAGAGAAGGGCAGCTTGGGCTGCTCTGTGGTCGAATGATGGATTTTGTCGTTTGGCAGCTTTAACGAGCCATGTAATGGGGGAATAGACAAAGGGACTGCGGGAGTTGAGATCTTCGAGTTGTTGGGTGGACATGATTTTGGTTTGAAGGGGGCAGAAGTGGGTTTGATGTTGCTTAGACCGAAACGTTCCAATACAGCTTTTATGTATGATGTTTGGCGTAATCGAATTGTTCCATGTTCCTGCTGGATTTCGATGCCTAGTAACCAATTGATTTGTCCTTCATCAGTGACTTCCATTTTGGATTTAATTTCGCTCTTGGCTTTCATCATTTTCTTTTCATCTTCTGCCACAATGGTCATGTCGTCGACGTGTATGAATATGATGGTGAAGGGATTCTTCCGATAGAACACTGCATGGTCGTGTTCAGATCGTGTGTAACCTAGTTCTTTCATCCATTGGACATATTTTTCGTTCCATCGTTTTCCTGCTTGGTGGAGTCCATACAATGCTACTTTTAGCTCCATTGCTTCTCCTGGTTTGGCTCCAATGTCTAATCCTGGTGGGAGTTTCATGAATACCCTTTCTTCGGGTTTCAATCTTCCATAAAGGTATGCGGATTTTATGTCCATTTGATGGATGGTCATATTGTGATGTGCCGCTACTGATAGGATGGTTCTGATGGATGTGAATTTTGCTACTGATGCGAATGTGTCATCCAATGAATAATCTATCCCTGGTATTTGGCGAAATCCTTTTACCACAAGTCTGGCTCTGTACCTGTCTATATTGCCTTCCTTGTTGCGCTTGGATCTGTATACCCATTTGTTTGGAAGAACATTCGTTCCAGGAGGGGGTGTGGATAAGGAGTATGAATCTCGGTTCTTTAGTCGGGTGATTTCGTCTTTCATTGCTTCTAGCCATTTTTCTTTATTTGGTCCTTCCAGTGCTTGTTGGTGTGTAAATGGATCTGATTTTTCCATCTCGCTGGTGACTTTGGCTATGCTGGCAGTTAGATGTTTTTCGATGATTCGGATTTCTTTTCCCCCTTCTGCAGTTCCTTGTTGGATTCGTTTGACTTTGTCTGTGGGTTGTCGTCTTCGTTTTCCCACTATTACTTCAGGATCAAGAAACTCGATTTCTTCTTGTGTAGCTTTGTTG